TCCCACTGCATTCCCATTGCTTCTCCTGTGTATTTCCAGTGCATTCCCACTGCAACTCCCATGTATTCCCGGTGCATGCCCATCCCATCACCTCCTTGCCACCTCCTGCCATCCAAGGGAAGCAGGAGGACAGGATGCAAAACCACGAAACCACCCTGCACCTGAGGCAACTCCCGCTTCCCTGGGTCAAATCTCCCACCTTGGCCCTGCTCCTTCCCGCCGGGATTGGGCTGGGAGCTGCGGCCGGGCCCTCGTTAGCGCTCATTAGCGCAGCGTCCGTCTGCCCGGGGTCAGCGCCCATTAGGGGCCGGCGCGCTGGGAACGGCACCGGGCTCCGGGCATCAAAGGCTTTGTCCAGGGCGGCTCCAGCCGGGCAGAAAAATTTAATCGGGAAGCCGGAGGCAAGGGGCCGGCGGCGGGGGGAAAAAAGCCCCCCCCCCCCTTTTTTTTTTTCAATTTCTTAATTAATGCCGGGCACCAATTAATTGGGCTGCAGGGAAGAGGAGGTGGGCGAGCACCACGCAAAGCCCCTGCCGCACTTGCAGAGGCTGCTGAAACTCATGACATGCTGCTCCACAGCCTCCTGAAACTCCCACTCCGGGTGTTCCACACTTGCAAGGCTGCAAAGAAAATTGAATCCATGGCGTTTCCCAGTGCTGCCTTTCCAGCGGTGCCATTTCCAGTGCTGTTGTTTCCAGCATTGCAGCTCTTGGTGTTGCATTTCCCAGGGTTGCAACTTCCAGCATTCCCAACTCCAGCACTGCCATTCCAATGCTGCAATTCCCAGCACTGCAACCCCAGCATTGCAGTTCCTAGAGGTGCAATCCAGCATTGCACTTCCCAGTGGTACCATTCCAGCATTGCAGTTCCCAGCAGTGTAATTCCAGCAATGCACTTCCTGGCATTGCAACCTCATCCTTGCAATTCCCAGCAGTGCAATCCCAGCATTGCATCTCCCAGCACTGCACATAGAGGAACCCTCTTGCTCCTTATCATGCCAGGGTCTGGTGGCCTTTCCATTCCTTCCCTGGGGACAGGGACAAAGTGACCCATCATGCCCAATCCTCCCCCCACAACCCATTTTCCACTAATTAGTGCCTATTAAATGCTAATAATAAATGAAAAATGCTAATAAGACCCAGGAGAGCAAGTCCAAAGCAGTGCCTGGTGAGGGCATATGGGCACTGGAGGATCTTTGGGCCCTAAGAGCCACTCACTTCTCCTGTCCTTCTAGCAGTTCCCAGATTATTGGGGATTTGCGAGCCCAGAGGAGTGTGGAGCGTGCACGTGTGCATCGCAGAGGCAGTTTTTTTAATTATTCATTTTTTAAGAGCTTTTACATGAGAATTTAATTTCTGGAAGGACTTGCAAGAGGTGCAGAGGGAGCCGGAGCTCGCAGGGAAGCGACCTGACACCAAGTGGAGGAAGGCTGCAATTTCCACTGGGGCAGTGGCAGGTGGAGGCAAATGGGCCAAAAAGGGGGGATTGAGAGGGAAATGCAGTGGGGTGCCTGCCGTGCCATCCTGATTTGGGTTGAAAATTGCAAGAATTTGGCAAAGTTCTTAACACTATGGCTCTGCGTGGCGTTTTGGACCTCGTGAGCACCCTGAAAAAAGGGCTTTTTGGGATGTCTGGGCCTGGTTTTGCCCAGATGCCCGTGCGGGAAGAGCAAATCCGG